CGAAGGTGCGCGCACCTTTGCCATCGCTCTCCGACCCGCTCTGGGGGCTGGGGACGGGAGAAGCTCCGGCTTCCCCCGCCCCCAGCCCGCGCAAGTTCCCAGAGCGATGGCGAAGGTGCGCGCACCTTTGCCATCGCTCTCCGACCCGCTCTGGGGGCTGGGGACGGGAGAAGCTCCGGCTTCCCCCGCCCCCAGCCCGCGCAAGGTCCCAGAGCGATGCCGAAGGTGCGCACACCTTCGCCATCGCTCTCTGACCTGCTCTGGCGGCTGGGGGCGGGGGAAGCTCGGGCTTCCACCACCCCCAGCTCCTGCAAGCTCCGGGAGCAATGGCAAAGGTGCGCTCACCTTCGCCATCGCTCTGGGACCCTTTCTGGGGGCTGGGGGCGGGGGAAGCTCGGGCTTCCCCCACCCCCAGTCCCGCAAGCTCCGGGAGCCACTCTGGCTCCCATTCTGGGGGCTGGGGTCGGGGGAAGCTCGGGCTTCTCCCGCCCCAGCCCCGCGTCTGGGGGGGGAATAATTTTTTCCCCTTTATTTCCCCCCAAAATCTAGGTGCGCCCTATGGGCCGGTGCGTCCTATAGGGCGAAAAATACGGTAGTCAATATAGGCACAGAGTTAATTTTTTAAACATTTTCTAATGGTGGTGTGCCTCGAGATTTTTTTCATGAAACAAGTGTGCCTTTGCCCAAAAAAGGTTGGGAAACACTGGGTTAGAGCGTGGTGCTGATAATGCCAAGGTAGCAGGTTTGTTCCCGATATGGGACAGCTGCGTATTCCTGCCTTGCAAGGGGTTGGACTAGATGATCCTCAGGGTCCCTTCCAACTCTATGATTCTATCCAGGTGTTGTGCTTATTGTACAAGTAGAAGTAAAACATACTTGGGCAGCCACTAGGCAAGCAAGATTTTCTTCCCTCTTATTGCTTGCTGGGCCTACATTACTCTACAGATACAGCAGGGTTACTGTGCCAGCAGAAATTTCTCATTTCTCCTTAAATAGGTACTTAAGGGGGACATCATGAAGTGTGCAAGCAAAAGAACTGCATACCCCACCGTGCTCTGTGACAGGTTGTCCCCTAAACCTGGCTACTCACAGTAAACAGGTGTGCATTATTTCTCCTGTTTATTAGACCTCAGGTGCTGATGATAAGACTGCCAGTAAATGGAAAGCTACCTGGTTGGTGCTTATTGCAAGGGATATCTGTCCACTGTATAATAGACTAATAACACCATATTCATTTCACTGAGCTAGTATACAACCGTTGTTAAGGTGTCAACTTGTCAGGGACTGATAAAATTGCCATTGATTTCTCTATCTATTTTAAGAGAAGCCATTTTTATCCCCAAGAACAATTCTGAAGAGTAAACACTCATTTCTTTAAGAGCGTTTCATCTATACTCGGAGCATTGATGTGTGAATTGCAATTCACAATTCAGGCATCCAAGCATGACACTTGATATCAGTGCTGAACAGAGTGTGTTTTAACACACTACTCCAGCTTTTCTACAATCAAATCTTCACTAATAAGAATGGAGACCTTGTTACCATGTCATGACCTGTGGAGCGAGATAGCTACCTTTGCTCTGTCAATACCTTGCACAGATGAAAGAGCTGCTAATATTGCCTAACTGAAAATATTTCTAGTACTTTTTTTATTTTGTTTTCAGGATGGGGTCTTTGCAACAAAAGGAAATTTCCATTTCTTAAGCGGTTCACAGCTTCAAGTTTGGGCTGCTAAGGGGCTGCATTTGGGTTACCTTAGGACTTCAACAATAATCAGGTTGGATGCCACACATCATGTTGACATGACAAAGCACATTTGAGGAGCCGATAGAAATATATGAAATAAATGTTACAATGCTGTGTAAGTACCAGGACACCATTAATGGTAACAGTATCCAGCATTTGTCATTAAAAAATGGCAGAATTCAGAAGAGTGGCTGTGGTCCAACATGGCTCATGCTAAGATCACTGAAGTCCACTGACCTCAGTAGCCCTAAAGCAAGTCAAACACTGTGGTGGATTTGTGCTGTGTGCCAGTGTGTACAGTGGTTAAACTCAATTATTGTAAAGTGAATACAGATGAGCGATTACGCATATTTTGTTTCCAAGTACAACAGTTCATTAGTATTTCAGATGACATATTTCTTTTTTTTACGGCTTTGATTCCCCCCCCCTCAAACTCTGCCTAGTTTGTACTTTCTTTCAGCCTAGTTTGTGCTGTCCGATACTGGGTGTGCATGTTTCACTTTCATTGCAATTTATCTTTGAGAAGGAGAATTACTGCATCAAGCCAGGTATTTGTCTAGATGACCTGCAAGGCCCTTTTCAACTTTTTGATTCTATCAGTGTCAAAACAACTTTCAGAAATATCTCTATAGCCACTAGCACCTTAGAGATCAACTAAGTTTGTTTTGGGTAATTTTTGTACTGGGCATTTTTTTTTTATTTCGACTGCGTCAGACCAACACAGGGTACCATGCCCAGAACAAACTTAGCTGGTTTCTAAGGTGCTACTGGAATTTTTTAAAAATTTTATTTATTTATTTCGACTGTGTCAGACCAACACGGCTACCTACCTGAATCTATAGCCACTGTTTGAGATATTTCTATTCACTGTTGGGAGTTTTCACTGTTGGGGGTTTCTATGTTGCTTTGAAAAACCAGTTCTCTTTTGATGTCCTTCAGTAAGGCTTACTGCAATTTAATGTCACAATTGGCTAAGATTTATGCAGGGTTTATCAATCCTGCACACAATCCTGCTTCACTCCCAGTCACTTAAGCACCCTGCATGCAGGATTCACCCTGACTTGATAAATATATCTCATGACGATTTGAAATAGAGCTATATGAAATAATCTATCTCACTTTAACATGGGACATTTTGATATTCTAGCATATGCATCTGAATGCTATAGATAACATAGGCCCACTTAGCATGTCCTGGCAACCTAGAATCTATGCCTTCTCCCTGGTCACCTCCTGCTCACAGAAAAGTAGTTGTCCAATTCATTTGCCACAAGCAGATTCTAGCTATTGCAAACCTTTTCTGTGTGGGTTGGAATCATAGTGTACAAAACTGTATGTCCTGTTGATGGCAGATGATTAGCGGCTAGGGGTAGAGAAGGAAGAAGGCAAGCATTGTGAACAGATGGGCTTGCATGTACCAATCCCTGCAATCTGGAAATTCATCCATTCTACACTGCATGCATAAATTTGACCAGCACTGCTGCTCTACAGATAAAGCCATTGCCATACATGTAGACGACTAAGGAACAAACATTCCACCTTAATACATCACCAAACTAAGGAACATAAATAGATGTTCAGAACAAATTTGACACATGATATAAATGAAAGTGGTATTTTACTCCACTAACGTCAAATCATGAAAACTGAAATATCTGCATCCTTGGTTCCTTCAACATTCAGTTTTGGAATTTAAGTACAACTGAAAGATGGCTGCCCTCCTCTTAATATTAGGAACCTGAAAGTTGTCTGCTCCTTCATCTCTGTCAAGGAAGGAGAATGGTACAGCAAAACAAATTTTAAGCTGCTTTTTCTCACATGATAAAATATGAAGGCTTTATGTGAAGATTTGAAACAAAGAACAAGACAATTCTGACTTGAATTGGAGTAACTGAAAGCTGAAATTACTTTTCAGATGCACAGTTTGGTTTGATAACTAACATTTTTCACTTCCAGCTTCTCATTTTGCCTGAATCTGAAGGCGGTAGCTTCCAATGTGCATTTACTGTGCTATAATCCATAATTTCTATATAAGATCAAAGGTAACATCTCTTGTTAACATCATACATAAAGAAAACGTGCACCCACAACAGACAAAACGACATGGCGTAACTTCTCTGTATCCAGATTGCAGATTTGAATGCTCACCCATATTTGCTGCCAAGAGCCAGGGCGCACAATCAGCAAAACCATGTGATGTAACTCTTTAGTATCATTTGACATTGCATATATGAATGCTCACCCATATAAAATTCTCCCCACACATGGGGGGCGGGGACAATAACATCAAGTTTAGGGGTCAGTTGTTCTCACGTGTTAACTTTACACAGGTAGTTATATTTAAAAATATATATACAGTGGTACCTCGGGTTAAGTACTTAATTCGTTCCGGAGGTCTGTTCTTAACCTGAAACTGTTCTTAACCTGAAGCACCACATTAGCTAATGGGGCCTCTCGCTGCCGCTGCACCGCCGGGGCACAATTTCTGTTCTCATCCTGAAGCAAAGTTCTTAACCTGAAGCACTATTTCTGGGTTAGTGGAGTCTGTAACCTGAAGCGTATGTAACCCGAGGTACCACTGTATGGGGAAACATTGAATCATAATGATCCCCACCTGTGGGCTGCACTGGCGTCCAGCAATGAGCGCAGCATCTGATTCTGCTGATTGTGAAATTTGATTCTCAAAAGCAGGTTGCTTTAAACGGTTCCCCCAAAAAGTTTGGAAACATGTTCTTAGGATGTTCACAGTGTGCAGCTACAGAAAAGCTGCATAACATGATACAGTAGATTTTGTTAAGCTCCTGCAATGGCATTAACTGAAACAGTTGGCAGTTGCCTGCAGTTTCAGCTGCTATTCTACATAATGCCCAACTACTTTAATAGAAACTCCACAACTGCCTATAGCCTCCTATAGCCATTCCTGCAGCACCGAGTTAATACTGGTATAATCCGACAACCTTTAGCTCCAGGGAGTGTATTTGGCCACAAACCTGTCTTGTCAGACTCATTATGCTTCTTCTCTTGGTGATTGTATTGATCTAAATCCACTTATGCATCTTTTAATAAAAAGTGCCAGGAAAGAAATGCAGTGTTCCAAGCAGAAATCCTTTCTGAAAACCTTCCATTGTGTTGCTATTATAAATAACATGTCTACTTTTTAAAGATGAAGGAGGATGTGGTCACTTTTGGCTCATCCCATCAATGGTGACTTGATAAGTATGAATGATTGCAGATGATTGTTCAGCAACACTATGTAAAATGGATGAAAATTTTATTTAATTGCTGTGATGGAAATTATTCTTTCTTCAACTGCAGAAGAGAAATGGTCATTTGACACCTTACAGTCATTTTCATGCTTCATTCAAAATGCAACTCTAAAATTACTCTTACATTGCTTTTCAGCCATTCCCATTTCAACAGTGAAAGGAATGTAATAGGGAGGTTCTTAACATTATCTGTTATAACACCTTATTTAAATAACCCTCTTAAACCTGACTTCCACCAAGGGAAAGGAATGGCGCTAGAACATCCATCTTGTTTTACAGTTCTGAGACACTGACAGTATCCATTGATGTTTCTAGTTCTCTACTGGTGGCATCTCAAGATTCCCACATAGCACTCATGCACTCCATAATATCCCCTGTAAGTAACAGCAACTATTCATAGCTACTCACTATAGTAGGGTTTGACCTGAGAAACTCTAAAACTCTGTTTAACTTTATTAACATGGAGTGTTTGGAAACATTTTTTTAAAATAAAGTTTTCCCTTGACCAGCAAGGGAAATTGTCAGCCAGGAGGCCTCCAGCAGCAGCTGGTGAGGTTCTCCGCCAAGTTCTTCAGATATTGTCCACCCGCAATGACAGCTCGTTGGCTTCTGCCCTGGCATTTACTTAATCTTCAGAACAGATTTCCTGGCACTAGGAAACTTAATTTCTGACTCCTTTGACCCAGATGCTGGCCAAAATCTTGTTTGCAATCTGTACAGAACAGTCTGTTTTTTTTCTCCCTAAGAGCTGGTTTTTTTGCTGTTAAATTTCTCTAAAACAGTCATATTAATATGCTCAAAAATCCACTGTTGAGTTTCAGATAAAGGATCACATCTGTTCATGAAAATCTTCTTCTCTGCCGGATTGCAATCAATGCAGCTGCTGCTCACCGGATGGAACAAAGTTTTGTCCTGTGGGGATGAGAACAAAAACGCATTAAGAAGCAAATGCCAGCTGATTAAAAATGGCCATGTTTTGGGGAACAGAGGTTTTATAAAAGTCAAGCCAAGCTTCTTTAAGATTTGGACAGCTCTTCTGCCCACAATAAAACAGAGCAATGGTGTAGAATGCTTCCAGACTATTTCCAGCGTATTGTACGTAGGTGGCTGTCTAGAGTAAAATATTTAACAGTTATGAATGAAGGCACTGATATTTAAGACAAGCCTGGATGACTTGCAGAGGATCTGTTCCCTCATTTCCCACAACTGCAAGTCTGTGCCAACATGCTTGATCACTGAGCTGGTTAGCTTTACTCCTGCACCACTTCTGTGGCAATTGGTTGTCTGAATCATTCACCAACACCACCGTGGAAGGGAAGTAGTGCAGGGGTAGAGCACCTGCTTTTCATACAAAAGGTCCCATGTTCAATCCTTCGCGTCTCCAGGAAGGGCTAGGATGGTCTGAAATCAGAGAGAGATGCTGACAAACAGTGTAGAAAATGCTCAGCTAGATGGACCATTCGTCTGACCTAGTGCAAGGTGGGTTTTCAGATGCACTGTTTGGTTTGATAGCTACTATTTTCCACTTCCACCTCCTCATTTTGCCTCATTTAGATTATTCTTCCAGCATCTAGAGATGCAATCCTGGCAGAAGTTGTATCTGTAGGCTAGCATCATGGGATCTGCAAAGTAGCCCAGGCTATCAGGGCAAGTAGCTTCATTCCGAAGCCTCTTATTGGTGCTCTCAGCCATAGCTTCACTATTGCAGTGCAACACAAAGGGAACTAATTTCTTTTCTCCTGCGCTATGAAGCAGCCCCACTGGGAAGAGAGCTCAAAAGGACCGTATATCCACCCCCAAAGCCCGGCAAAAGCAGTGATCCTAATTTGGCAGAGGGCATCAAAGGGGCTTCTGTTCAAGCGCCCAAACTGGAGCAACTCTGACTACCAGCAAGGGGGGAAAGGTGAAGCAGCAGGCAATGAAATCAAAATCCCTGCTACAAAAAGAAGCAGGTATGAACATTCCATTTGTGATGTTTGATCTGTGGTGGCTCTTTTGACCCAGTGAGCCACCAGCTCCAATATTTGTTGTATTGGTCATCAAAGACCTGTTGCTGTGGACTGGGGATTGACTTTGCTGTTCTGCAATAAATTACTAAAGAGCAGTCTTTTCCATGTTGTCTTACATAAGATGCTCAACCCCACTGTTTTTCTGCTGAGGAAATTAAGCAGTGTTGCATTCTTTACAGAACACCCAATTAATTTCACAGAAATCGTGCAACTGACTCTACATGTCCTAAGCAAGGTTTAGATTCGCCCATTATGCATCATTAATTTGATTTCTAAACTAGTTTGGAAAGCACGAGGATGACGGCAAGTAAACAAAGAAGAGGATGTGAGTCAAGGGTCCACTGGGGACAGAAACCCTGATCCGTTGTGGTGTTATCCTGAATCCTGTCCAGTAAACCATGCCCTATTTATTAAGAATTGCTTGTGCATTTAAAAACTTTTCTTCCCAGTGTATTCTGAGAATTTTCTTGTTTTTCTTATGAAGTTCCTTTTTTCAGGTTTCCTATAGGTATCTGGTTTGCCACTATGAGAACAGGAGGCTGGCCTGATCCAGCAAGATCTCATGTCCTTATGTTGGCATTGTTCTAATCACCATTTCTCAAGTTCAGAATCAATTGCGCATACAATTTGGTTTTTTAAAAAAAATAGTTTTAAAAATATTTTATTGTATCACAAAACAGACGAATAAGCAAAGAATAGTGCATAGTGTTAGTTTAGGGGTTTGTGTCAGCATCATGTTGATAGTCCTCTCTCTCTCTCTCTCTCTCTCTCTCTCTCTCTCTCTGTGTGTGTGTGTGTGTGTGTGTGTGTAGACATTGTGAGATGTTAGGGGTCCAAAGCTTGGTTGATTGTGTTCAGGTGGTTACATTGTGGTGTTGGGGTTGGGTTGTTGGGTCAGGTTAGCCGTGTTGATTTGTATGTTGTTGTTGGAGATAGGTCACTGTTGCGTTGTGCTTTGTATGTGATAAAGGGGAATCACACTGGGGTTAGCTTGTCCCCGTACTAATTTGATTTGGTTGGTTAACTTTTCTAGTAGGGCTTATCCCCTTACATTTTGGTACCCAGTGGTCTGTGTTCACTTTTTGAACGCCACATGCTTCAGCCACTACTGTAGTCATAGAAGGTACGATACCCTCATTTCCAACTCATTCTCTTGTTTCCTCTAAAACAGACATTAAAAAAAATATGGTCCCTCAGGCTCATGTCAGTAGGTGGCATCCTCAAGGGCCTGTTGCTATTGGCATCACTGCCCTTCCCTAGTATTCTGATGAGCCCAGTTGGCAGCCATTGTAACTGTGTCAGGAACTGAGGACCACTGTCCTATGTGGCAAGATGTGTCACTGCAGCTTCTCAGAGAAGAATCTTTAGCATGGATTCATCCCAGGCTAGCCTTGGCTCCTTCTGATCAGGAAGGAGTATAAGAGGACTTCCTATCTCAGTGGTGCTTTGTGCTCTAGCATGTGTTGTGTTTCTGGTATTGCTGTTAAGTTCTGATGCTTAGCTTGTACTATCAGCCCTATCTTCTGGCTTGACCTGTGAATTAGATGGCTTTTTTGCCTGATTCCCATTTACTGGTTCCTGATTTACTGCCTGTGGCCCTCAACCCATCCTGGACTATGCCCAAGGTTGAAAAGCTTTTGTTAAACCCACTTACTTGTTTCCACTTACTAATTTGGGAATGCTTTGCTTGGAGGGAATGGCTGGCTGGCATCTTGACAAGGAACACCTTGGAGGTGAGGATCTATGACAGGCATAGGCAAACTCGGCCCTCCAGATGTTTTGGGACTACAACTCCCACCATCCCTAGCTAACAGGTCAGGGATGATGGGAGTTGTAGTCCCAAAACATCTGGAGGGCCGAGTTTGCCTCTGCCTGATCTATGACAACATTTTAGGCTTCACATGGGCAGTTGGTTAGTCACTGTGGGAGCAAGATGCTGGACTAGGTAGGCTGTTGCCCTGATCCAGGAGGGTCTTCTTACATTCTTTTCTTTTTTAAAAACAAAAATCCATGTGTTTAAACTAGTATCACCAACAGACTTTTGAAATAGCCATTCTCAGTCATTAAGAAATAATCTGAACCAAAAAGGAAGCTACGTGTGTGTGTTTTATACTAGTGAGTGCTTTTTTCAGGAAATTATTTTAAAATAAATCCAGGCCATTACAAGATGCTTGCTTTTGACAATCTATCTCCACTTGTTAGCAGAAGTTCGGCTGACTTCATCGGAAGCAGAACCAGGTCCATTAAGATGAGCAGCACACTGCAGCCAATGCACTTGGGGAATGAAAACCAAGAAGAGACTGCAAACATTTCCTCTTGGTAAGTTTCAGTTACTTCTGGGAAGGGCAAAAACTCTTTCTCCCCTTTCTTTTTGCAGTGAAGGCATATTATTTCAGAGTGACACCCTTTCCATAAGATAATGGACTTGCAGGCAGGCCTGGGCAGTTCAGGTAATTGGTAATGAGACAAGGTTCCTTTCCTTCCTTCTAGGTCATTGCTTTAACTATGGCCAAGGTCAGTAGTCAATGAGAGTCATTATCGTCTGACGGCTGCAGTCATTTCTGTGAAATGAGTTGGTAGTCTCAGCATAGGCCCAATAAGACCAAATGTCCACATGATAAAACATACCATTAGAACTGATATTCACACTGTGAGCTTTTCAGCAGCAAAGTCAAGGTGCGATCCACCAGGCCCTGCTGCTATGCTTCCTTCTCCATTTGTTACCAAAGAGCTTGATTTAATGGGGATAAAGATGGAGGACAATGCTTGATGGGATTGCAGTTTAAGAGTCTTTTGTGCCAGGTCTGAATTACTAGTAGATGTCGCCTCTGCAGCTCTCTCAGGAGTAGCATAAAGTCCAATAGCCCCGATAAACGAATGAATGCCTGAATTCCAACTCTTACGTCTCTCCCACAACTTGTTGCTGCATTCAAAGCAGAACTACATTAGATATGAAATCATGTGGAAAGAATATGTCATGGGCCATCCTATGGAAAATCATATTAAAGACATATGTCTCAGTCTCTTGGCATAGGCCCCAGTTGTGAGATAAAAATCCAAGGCTGCATGTTCAGTGATCCTTGCTTCACTGGTTCTGCACATAATCCTAAAATATATTTGGTGTAGTAAGATTTGAGGGCACTGAGGATGTGTTTGGGGGTAGGTTCAAGGACTGAATCTAACGTAGCTTCTGCCTCTCTCTCAATGGGCTATTAGGATTGGCAAGACTGAGAGAACATTGTTCATTTTTGATGAGCAGCTGTATGAAGATCTTCATGTGCACACAGCCTGCTGTGTGGGATGACTGGTGCCATTAACTAGAATGCTGTAAACAGATCATGTCTGAAAAGAATGGCATTTGAACTGCAAACTCTTCCAAAGACATCAGGTAGGATATAAATTTAGTTTGTATTTAAAAAATCTAAATACGTGATTAATGAATAAATCCAGTGATTTGGAACAGTGATGATAATGATTAATTTATTAGCTTTATTAATCACCTTAGATGAGTCACCTCAAGGCAAGGTAAAATACAAAAATGACACATTGCAATGCAAAACTCATAAAGTGCAAAATGTAAAATATTCTGTACCAGTGAACACATCAGTTAAACATACTACAGTTCTCCTAAACCTCTGCTGACATGATTACTACATAGTTAATCTTTAAAACTGACTCCAGCCCAAAAAGCAGCAGTCAAATGCCATGCTATATAGAAAAGGTTTTGCTTGGTGTATGATGCCATAGTGAGTGCCAGGAAATTCTCTCTGGGGCACCACTACTGAAAAGCCCCTTTCCCTTGCAACCACTAGGCCTGGGCAATTTATCAATATATCGCCCGGGACTGGTATGAGGGGCAGACCGCGATGGCGGCTTCACTCAGTGGTATGTATATTGTGAGTG